CCCCAAAACCCCAAAACCCCTCCATTCTCAAAATTAACTTATTTAGCATTATTTTAGAAAACAAAAATTAAGGAAATTCATTCTACTTATTAATTTTGTAATATAGCTTGATTTCTTAGATAGTTTTTATTAGAAGGATGGTGAATATTTGTGAATTAAGATTATTAATCGACTTTTAATACTTATTTATACTCTATCATTTCAGTATCTTATAATTATATTTTCAGTAAATTTGCTTCAATTATGTCTTCTGCTGCGTCATCACTTGATGGAAAGAATAGAAATCCAATAGTCTAGGCTGCTAGAAAAACACTAAAGGACAATAGCTTTGAGAAATAAAGAAGAAAGCAAGAGCTAGATGATACTATTGAGGATGAAATAGACAGCTACGAAGGTAATCATGAATCTAGTATAGTCAATATAGAGCTATTGGATTAACCATATTTATCTTATTTAGATTAATCTAATAATACGTTATAGTGTTTGATATGCTTCGCCATATTAATGATCCAGAGCATCCATTAACTTTGGAACAATTAAATGTTGTCACCCCAGAGTTGATCAGTGTTGATAATAGAAATGATCTGGTTAAAGTTTGTTTTACACCCACTATCCCTAACTGCACAATGGCCACACTTATAGGATTAATGATCAGAGTCAAGCTCCATAGATCCCTTCCTAGTAGATTCAAGGTAAGTATCAATATTCTTCAAGGAATCTTAAAACCTTTATCCTCATCATTTTATGTACTTTTTGAGAAGCATTTTGTGCAACTTAAATAAAGGTTGATGTTATGATCGAAAAGGGCAAACATGATACAGAATAAGAAATTAATAAATAGCTTAACGATAAAGAAAGAGTCCTCGCTGCACTAGAAAATGCAAATCTATCTAGTATATTAAAATTTTGCTTTACTTTTTAATCAGGAATCGTCAATAAAGGGTTGTATAAAGCAGAAAAAGGATTTGATGACTACTTAAAACTATTAAAAATAGGTCATTGATTAATTTAATAACAAAACTTTGCCAATTTATAATTTCATTTATTTCCATACTTATTCTTAAAGTTAAATTAAAATTGAGATTTAATTTGCTAATTTAAAATTTTAAAATGACATCAAACTTCAACTTTAACCCTTCTGCACAATCAAATCATGCCAAACTCAACACTCATCAAATATAGATAAATATAGCAGAAAATTCTTAAGCCAATCTTAACCACTACAATCAAGATAAAGACTAATAATTCAAGAAGTATGATAAGACTCCCACTTATGCTGCACTTGATACCCAAGAGATTTCAGGCAAGAGTACATGCATCGAGACAAATATCAAAAAGAACAGACATTTTCAAAGAATCTTTGAGTCTTATAAAGAAGAAGAGGAGCCAATCAACATCAACTCCACTTTAGAGAAAACATTCGACATGGATTAAAGCAGTGAATCAACATAAAACCAAGTCTTTATCAGTCCCGCCGATTTTAAACTCAACCACAACAAAAACTCTCAAAATTTGACTTTATAAAGATAAGTGAAGAATGATTCATAGTAATTCTAAAGGTAGGATAAAGTTCTCTTATCATCTCATCAGCATGGAAATAAAGATTTATATGATTAGTTTAACTCTTCTAAGAGAACTGAACATGATTCTGCAAATTCAGTGATTTCTATAAATTTAAGTAGCAATGATGAAAGAAGAAGAATATTTCAGCCAAATATACTCATTCCAAAACCCTTTGACCTTAGACAAAGTAGCTCATCTGTGTAAATTATAGAGAATATTAGCTAACTGCCAGTTTCCCAGTAAAATTAATCATCCTTCCAGTATTTGAAGTAAAATCAGGACTTACTATCTCATAACTTGAGATTAGACCAGAGAAATCCTCAAGATAATCCTAGAATTCAAAACTAGCATTAATTCTAAAGCAAGGACATCTCTTCCGAAATCTAACTTTTAGGATAAAAAAGAGTAATGAGCAGTAACCACAATTAATTATTCTTCAACTCAATGTCTTAAAACCTTGGCCAAAAAAGAATATTTGGAGTCGAGAGATCACCACAAAGAGTAAAATGCTTGGAAGGTATTAACAGGAAAACAGGTAAAAAGCTGACCAGAAACTTTCCTTTGTACACCGACAATGAAATATTCCCAGATGAGAAAGATCAAGATAAGCTCATGAAAGGATTAATTGAAATGATGCAAGACGATGATGTTGATACTGATGATGACATTCTTAATGCAGCCTATGATAACTGCATGAGAGATCTCATCAAAGCAATGAGAGTAGCAAAGGATACTTCGGAGAAGAAACGCTTTAAAGTTAATATGGGAATGTGTAACAATTCTATGATTTAAGATAGAGTTAAGAATCCTCAAATGTATGATAGGAATGGAGTACGCAAAATTATTCCACATTAAAACAGATCAACTTAAGACTAGCAATTAAAGGAGGATATTGATCAAGTTATTGATTAATTCAACACCAAGATATCTTGCCCTACAAAGCCTCAGAGAAATCGTCAAACAGGGAGTAAATTATTTCAAAAAAAATCAAGCCATTATCAGAATAAGTAGCAAGTAGAGTCATCTGAGAATGATGAGGATTACTTTGAAAGTGATGATGAAAGTTAATCTGAATCTGATATTTGAAAGGATCATCATCAAAACTTCTGTTTATACTCGCTGAAAATGTAAATTGAGGCCTTAAGATAAATTCAAATATTCAAGAATTAATGATTGATAAAGTTTAAGCAAGTTTATTTTCCTTAGATTTAAATTATATTCTAACATTTATAGTTAATAACAATGGTGATGGGGTTTTGGGGTTTTGGGGTTTTGGGG